AGAATGTAGGAGGACAAGCTAATGTCAATGTTCTTAGGTGTCTGTGTGAAGTAACAGTATGCGACTTTCAAATGGTAGGACAGAGAGATGGACACCTGTGGGTATTTATCTATCATCTGCCTATGTATGTATGTATGTATGTATGTATGTATGTATGTATGTATGTATCACCTACCTACCATCTGCCAATTAACCACCGGTTTATCAGTTATTTATTAATTTTATATTAATCTTTTTATTATCTGCAATCACTACAATTTATTTATCATTTTATTTACTTATTTAGTTTTGGTTTTTCAAGACAGAGTTTCTTTGTGTAACCCTGGCCATCCTGGAACTTGCTCTCTAGACCATGCTGGCCTCAAACGCCTCTGCCTGTGCACCACCACCGTATTTATTTTATTATACATTTCATTTAGCCATCATTCATTTGCTAATTGGTCTGTTCATCCATCTATCTATTTTGTTTGTCTATCATTATGCATAATCTATCACCTAACTGTCTACCTATCATTTATCTGTTTATTTTCATTAATCTATCTTCAGAGAGGCAAAGAATGTGACAAAATATTGACCAGCGTTGACTCTAGGTAACATTGTTTGAATTATTTCTATTTATTTTCTAACTCGGAAGGCAAGCGCTGGCAGAGCTGCTGTGAGGGCACCCTGGTATCCTAGGGAATCATGGTTTCCAGCAAGAGCCGGGGCGGCCGGGAGTGCTGCTTTGGATTGTTCTGAAGATACTGTATTTCAGCATCAACGCCTTCCTGGCTAGTCTGCTGGTATTCACATCCTCAGTATGGTGTCGGTTAAAACAGAATGTAAAGAACTCGAATGTACTTTTATTTCTCAAGTGTTTAGTTTGATATTTCCTGAACAGTGGAACTTTCTTTGAAAAATAAGGAAGGGAATGAAAACAGCAACTTCCCTGACCGGGAATCGAACCCGGGCCGCGGCGGTGAGAGCGCCGAATCCTAACCACTAGACCACCAGGGAAGACATACTAGTTGCTCCTTGTAACTTCACTAGACTAGATGATGGCAAGGATGACGGGCAACTACAGTATAACCAAGGAACTGGCAATTAGGCAATCTGACGACTCGTCGCCCTGGAGGACCCGATAACACCAGCAACTGAAAGAAATTTTGCATGGGAGAGACAGGGTCCTGAGCAGAGGAAAATAAAAGCAGGGAGCAAGCAAAAAGAGATCATGTGTCAGAAGTGGGATTCGAACCCACGCCTCCATTCGGAGACCAGAACGCCCGCAGGGGAAGGCTCACGCCTTGAGTCTGGCGCCTTAGACCACTCGGCCATCCTGACACCTGAAAGCCTGCTGCTTCTCGCCTGTCCTGAAGCCTGTGCTGTGCTGTGCGTGCTGCTACGTGTGACTGCCCTACAGTGTCCCTCCCAGTTTGCTCCAGCGTCCAACCGTGAGCGAGCTCCACGCTGTCGCCGCCCCTAAACCCAGAAATGCAATGCCGGAGAGAAGCCGGCAGCATGGAGCAGTAGCCGCGGATAGTAACTTCACCCTTGTTCCCCTGCAAACGCGCTCAGCTTTCGGGGTACAACCGGAGTCCAGACTGGGAGCTCCGTGCTTCCCTCTCTGAGGGACCTGGGTTAGGTGAGCGACGCTCCACCAACGGCGACACAACTCTGAATGCTTTAGCTTGCTAAGGGAAGGCCCAGGACCTCCCTACAGAACAGTCCTGAACAGGCCGACGGTTGGCTGAGTTAACGCCTTCCATCCAGGTCCCCCCCCCCCCCCCCTTCCTTAACGTCACCCCAAAACTTCCCTTTGCCCGCGAGACACAAACAACAACAAAAACACAAAAGGTTATGACAGGCAGAGGGGTCAGAACTGCTGCGGAAGGCCTCATTAAAGCAAGTTCTTATTGAAAAAGTAGTCCTCAAAAACTAATATACACAGACAGGGCGTAGCCCACAATATCATTACTCTGAGGTGGAGCCAGTGGGATTGGTTCAAGGTTATTATTCGCAGCTTCACAGCGAGTTTTGGAAAAGCGAGACCTTGTCTCAAAAAACGAAGCAAAAGACTAACACACGACCCATCCAATCTCTCTCTCTCTCTCTCTCTCTCTCTCTCTCTCTCTCTATATATATATATATATATATATATATATATCGAGATTTTATTTAATTAACAAATGACGCTAAAGAAAAATACCCTGCTCTTGTATCGCAGAAAAAGAGAGAAAGCAGATAGCTGGGGGTTGCAGCCAGGGCAATGGTGGCCAGCATGGGTGGAAAGGTCTTAAGAGGAGATGTCAATCAAGGGTAAAGGGATTCCCACTAAACAGGCCCTACGGAATTCTTCCAAAAACCAAACCAAAGGCTTAGGTGTCAAAGGTAAGGGATGATGATAAAAGGCTATCTCTTGGAGTAGGGGTGGGGAGTTCTCCATAGACTAATTCATGAGGGTGGCTAGTGCCAGGGACAGGTGGAGGTCAAGATTCAGGCCTAGTCAAAGGGCTCAGAGGAGCAGAACTAAAAGTTGGTTAATGATGGATTTATAGGATGTTATAACCACATAGAGGAAAGTTTCAAGAGATATTTTTACAAAACCAAAACCAAAAACAAAAACCTCATGTACCCAAATTAATGAACGAATAAATAAATAAATACATGGTGTAAAGAGGTTGCTGATGGATTTGGGTGAGTTCATGTCCCCAGTGATGATGTTTGACTGCTTGACCTTTTACAGCTTCTTTGAAGCTTTTTTTTTTTTTTTTTTTTTTTTTTTTGGTTTTAGAGACAGGGTTTCTCTGTGTAGCCTTGGCTGTTCTGGAACTTGCTTTTCAAACAAGGCTGGCTTTGAACTCACAGTGGTCATCTTGTCCTTGCCTCCTCAGTGCTGAGATTAAAGGCATGCCCTGCTACCGCCAGGCAAAACTGTCTTTTTTTCTTTTTAATGCCAGAGCAAAAATCCTATTTATATTATTGATTGATTGATTCGAGACAGGAAGAGTATCTCTACATAGATCGCTCTACATGTCCTGGGAACTCATTAAGTAAATGAGGCTGGCCTTGAACTCACAGAGATCCTCTGGCGTCTGCCTCCCAAGTACAGGGATTAAAGTTGAATACCAACATGGTGACCATGCCTGGCTGCAGGGGGGAAAAAAAAAATCTTAATTAAAACATTATATGGGGATGTGTCTGGGTGTGGGTTTATGGACAGAAGTGCAGAAGAGGGTGTTGGGTTCCCTGGAGCTAGAGTTACAAGTGGTAGTACTAGGAACCAAGTCTGGTCTTCTGCAAGAGCAGAAAGTACACCTAATTACCAAACCATTCTTCCAGTCCCAGGGCAGTCTTCAACAATTTTTTTTTGGAGATGGGGTATCATTCTATAGTTCTGCTTGGTCTAGGCTTGCAACTCACAGAGATCCATTCACCTCTGCCTCTTAGGTGCTGGTGATCATCTTTAAAAATAAAAATTATTATTTTGTATGCACATAACATGTGTGGGCATGTGTGCCGTGGCTCGTGTCCATTCTCTCCTTCGACTCTTATGTAGTTTCTAGGGATGAGACTGAGGCCTCCAGACTTGCTCAGCAAGCACCTTTCCCTGATGGGATACCTCACAGTTTACGATGAGGTTATTGTCACTGAAACAGTCTCCCCAACATATCCATGTTCTAACTAGTGGACTCTATGAAAACTGCTTTCTGTAGCAAACACTTTGCAGATGATTGTTTGAAGCACTGTGTGGGGGAGATTATCTGGGTTACCCCAGTGGATTCTGTGTTTGAAAGAGGCAAAGGAAGGCTTCCCCTAAGAGGAGGCCAAATGACCATGGAGTCAAAAGCTGATGTGACATGGTCAGAAGTCAGGGAAGGCTAGGCACCACTGGAAGATGGGAAAGGCCCTGTCAGTACTTGGTGCTGGCCTTCTGACCTCCAAAACTGTAAGGGAGTGAATCTCTGATGTTTTGAGATGTCAAGTTTGTATCGACTTGCCACAGAAAAGCAGTCAGTAGTGCAAGTGGTTTGGAGTGAGGTTTGGGCTCACTCCTGCAGCTGTTCACTGTTAATATCCTTGTACTAGGCACTACCCTAAATTCTTTATGTGCATGTGTGTATTACCTCAGTTAACCACGGAGAGCCAACTAAGCAGTCAAACGAGTCTGAAATCCAAAGAGGGTAGCCAGAAACATAAACCTGGGGGCTATCAATGGGTGGGGTGACCTAGTTAGATTACCCCCAAACAGCATATCCAAAAGAGAGGCTTGCCAGGGCCTGAGCCTGGTACACTCCATCCTCTGATAACAGAAGAATCCAAGAGAGAAGAAAAGCCAGCGAAAGGGAGGATACCAGCCGTAGGTGAAGTCAGAGAGCGAAGCTGAAGAGAAAGTGAGAGGAATGCAGTTTCAGAGGAGAGAGCTAAAGTTCCCTGCATTTTAGGGCAGAGAGGTAGAAGAATGGGCACTTCATTTAGCAACACAGGTGCAGGCCTATAACCTCAGCACTTCAGAGGTGGAGGCAGGAGTTCAAAGTCACCTTGGCTATGTAGCGATTTGGCGAAAAGCCTGGATAACATGAGACTTTGTTTCAAAAACAACAAAAAAGTGACTCTGGAAAGCCCTGTTGCGGTTGCTGGATGGAAATAACTCCATTTGAGCTATTTGTAGATAATGTTATATGAAAGCGTCTGCACAGAATCTAGGCAACTTCGTGAAGGAATGTTGATAGCGGCAGGTTATGGGCTGCAGCTGGAGGGTGGCGCTAGGGTTCAGAAAGGGCTCTAGATGACTTCAGGCGACGAATGCTGCAGCTCGCGTTTGCTTGGTGGCAATTAAGAGACAGAGATGCTAGTAGAGAAGGGAGCAATTACAGCAGGATCCAGAAAACAGTCACACAAGATCAAGGCTAACTACACTTCCCGGCAGGTTTTGCGCGGGGCTCACGGCGCGCAGGCGCAGGCTGCTGGTCTCTTCTGCAAGTCAGAGTTGCAACCTCCGACGCCAAGGGGGGCGGTTTCTTCTTAAAGGAGAAACAGCGGCGGCGGCGCGCGGTGGGCCCCGATCCTCCCCGGGCTCTCGGAGGGAGCACGCGGGACCGGGAGGCGCACGCGCAGTGTAGACGAAGACGGGTTGGGGCGCGCAGGTAAGACCCCAGGGTGGGCCAGTGCTGGGCGGGCCTCCTCTGCAAGGGAGGCAGCGAAGAGGCCAAGGCGCGGCTGCATGCCGACCCCACCACCCGCGGACAAGGAGGGCAAGGTTCCCAGTGGAGGTCTCTTGCCCCTGCCTGCGACTTCCGTACCCCGAGTGCCCACCCTGGCTCTAAGAATGGGTGGCTGGACCCAAGAGCAGCAAGTGCTTTGGAGGCAGTGCGGTCTGGTCTCCATTTAGCGCAGACGGAGCTGGGGCTGTGACTGCCCGGCACGTCCCGACGGCACCACGTCCTCCCGCAGGCCCGGGTGCGCATGGCCTCTCCGGTGGCAGATGCATCCCGCCGGCGGCGGGAGAAGCGTAGGCAGCTGGACGCGCGCCGCAGCAAGTGCCGCATCCGCCTGGGTGGCCACATGGAGCAGTGGTGCCTCCTCAAGGAGCGGCTGGGCTTCTCCCTGCACTCACAGCTCGCCAAGTTCCTGTTGGACCGGTTAGGGGCCGGGAGGGACTGGGATGGGCACAGAGGCAGAGCCCCCAACCTGTTCTTACAGCCTTAGGTTTCTCGCTTAGGCAGGGCAGGCTGCTCCTCCCCTCACAGCCCTAGCGAATAGGAGGTCTGTAGGGTTGGCCCCTTAAGTGTGTGAGTGCCTGGGTGAGGGTGGTTCCTAGGTTCTGAGCTGACCCCAACCTCTTCTCTGGCAGGTATACTTCTTCAGGCTGTGTCCTCTGTGCAGGTAGGTAAAAGGTGGCAACAGGTAGTGGTACTGGCGGTTCCCAGAAACGTACGCCTCAAGAGAATTGGATCCAAAGTCCTTAATGAGTTTGGGAAGGGGATAAGCCCGAAATAACCTAGTGCAGCAGCCTTTGGGCTGGGTGTGCCTAGACTTAAAGCCAAACCAAAACAAGAGCCAAACAAACAATCAAACAAAACCAAAACTCCCCAGGGACAGGAGAGATGATGGATGCCTAAGTGGTTAAGAGCTATGCTGCTCTGGCAGAAGACCCAAGTTCATTCCCTAGCACTCATGGCAAGGGCTCACAGCTGCAGGGAGTCCAATACCTCTGGCCTCCAGGAGCACCTGTATTTATGTACACCGTGTCGTCCCCCCCCCCCCTCCAAGCTAATTTAAAATAAGATATGTTTTTTAAAAGAATAAAAAAAGATAAATCAGATTTAGACTGAGGTTGCCCATGGGTTTGGAAGGATTAGGATTCTCTGAGTGGCGTTCTGGGTGAGAGGGGTTTCCAACTCTGCATGACTGTATCATCTTACCTCCAGGTCCAGAGCCTCTGCCCCAAAAGGGTCTGCAGTACCTGGTGCTCCTGTCTCATAGGCACAGCCGGGAGTGCAGCCTAGTGCCTGGGCTTCGGGGGCCTGCAGGTGGCGATGGGGAGCTTGTATGGGAGTGTTCAGCAGGACACACGTTCTCCTGGGAACCTTCTTTGATTCCTACATCTGCAGAGGTGCCGAAGCAGTACTCTCTTCCGCACACTACTGAGAGGACCTGGTGTTCAGGGGCCAGGAGGAAGGAGCCTGACAGTGAGTAGGGAGAGAAGGGTTGTGGTGAAAGAAAACAGCTTTCCAATCTTCTCTAGTTCATAACTGGTTTATAAAAAAGGTCTTGTTATTTCTTAATTTATTGGTTGAGATAGGGTCTCATGTAGCCAAGGAGCCTTTAAGTCCTGGTCCTGGTCTCCATCTTTCAAGTGTTGGAATGATCCTTTTATGTCAGTAAGGAAACAGATCCTCCCATGGGTTGTTAGGTATAGAAAGTAAAACTGTATAGTGATGGTATGCCACCTTTGACAGAAACTGGAAATAAGGTTTAAAAGAGAATGGATTTTTAAAAAAGTACCACCTTGCAGAGCAGGTTGCCACTGGGAAGAAACTGTCCTCAATCTTTGAGCACAGGCCTCCTTCTCATATGCTGCTTGTGCCAACAGGTTTGGAATGTGAACAGCATGAGAAGACTCAAGGAACCAGGCTGTCCAGGTGAGGATGGGAGGTGAGGGACAGGACAGACCTGCACAGGAAGTGGGAGTATGGTGGCAGTTTCTCAGGATTGTCTTTTTTGAGCTTGCAGGAGAGTAGGCTCCCCATTGGAGACCTTCCCAGCCCCAGGAGAGGAACAGGATGTGGAAGAGGATGAGGATGAAGAGCTGCTCAGTGATGCCAGCCCATGGACCTACAGCTCCTCCCCAGATGAGCCAGTTGGGATTGAGGGAGGAGGCTGAAGATTGAGAGAGGGAGGAGACAGCTGGCCCCTTATAATTCAGTGATGTGTCAGCTGGAGTGATGGACTTGCTGGGGGGTGGGCAGGGCACTGTAAGCTTTGAATTGGGAATGTAGAAAAGGGATTAAGTCAGGCTCTGGGAGAGGCTGAGTGCATGAGAGCCTGCTGTGGCTCTCTTTTCTAGTTGGGGGCCAGGACTTGGCTAGGGTTGACTGATTGCCCAGAAGGATAATACCCTCTTCCTCCTGCTTCTCTTTCCAGCAGTGAACCAGATGTTCCTAAGCCACCTCCATCCCCTGTTAACCACACACCCAAGGAGGGAGAGAGCCCACCACTACCGCCAATTCTCCCCAGTCCTTGTGCTGTTCTTTCCTCTCTGGGTTCTACAGCTGCTCTGACATCAGAAACTGAGGTGCGGCTGGAACTCAGTAGGACCCCTCAGGCCTCTGTAGAGCTGCAAATGACCGAGTCTTTGGACAGGTAACCCGATGGCTGAGACAGAGGGCAGGGGTGTCCTGGGATGTGCCACTCTTGAGGCCCTTGGCTGCTTCTTTGCTACCCATAGCCCTGGGAGTCAGGCCCAGTCTGCTCTGAAGCCAACCTGGGATGAGGACCCTGCCCAGATCGGGCTCAGGAGAATGAGGTAGGACTGGGGAGATGGGACTCTGGGGAGGGTCAGGAGTGACGCAGAACATGAGTCTTGCTCTCATTCTTCCCACAGGAAAGCTGCCAAAAGAGAGCTGATGCCCTGTGACTTCCCTGGCTGTGGAAGGATCTTCTCCAACCGGCAGTATTTGAATGTGAGGGACACAAGTTGAGGCCTTTGTAACCACTGGGTTGGGGGGTGGGTCAAAAACACCCCTGGGCTGAGGTGTAAATAAAGCTTAGTTGTAGTACTATTGTCTAGCATGTACAAGGCAACACACACAGCTTTTGGTGTAGAGAGAGGCGAAAGGCCCAAGCTCCACAGTTAGTAATGGCCTCTGGCTCCAAGTATAGGGAGGGCCAGAGAAGTGGTGAGGTATAGGTAGACAGGATGGACCTATCTGAGAAGGGTATCTGCAGGTCAGATTTGAGCCTTTTATGTAGGAGACTTTGGCAGCTGTGCCGATAACTACGGGAACACCAGATTAGGATGCAGGCGGCATCCAGGAATGCATGCTCTAGGATGTGACTAGATCACTTAAGAAGGACTTCCTCATTGGGAAGTTCAGTTCAAAGGTGGGGGTGTAGCTCAGTGGTAGAGCACCTGCCTGTAATATGCCAGGTCCTGGGTCAAAATACCAAACTGAAAACAGAAAATAGAAAAACAAACAAGAAGTCCCCCAAACCCCAAAAGAACCCTTTCCCCAGAAACAGTGCTTTCTTTTGAGAGCCTGTGAGGTCTGTGTATTTGCAAAGCAGATGTAGGAGGAAACCCCACAGTGGTATATATACATAGCATAACCAGAGACACACTGCTGCCGGTGATCATGTTCACCTCAATTCTGTTCTGTCCCTGACAGACAAGGCAGGACACACCATGAGTGTCACATGGAATGGCATTTTGTACAGGGAACTTTGGACATTGCAATGATGGTGTCTAGTGGGTAGGCGTCCAGAGGGAACAGATGAGGGCAGTTAGTGGTCAGGGTGGGAGGAGAGTTGTGCTGCTTAGGGCGTGGGTGAGGGTGGGGCCAGGAAGGTGGCTCAGACAGTGACATCAGTGGTGAGGACTCAAGGGTGGAGGAGGAGCCTGCCTGCTCACCCAGCTGTCAGTCTCCCCGGGGAGGCAGCCAGTTCTTTTGCCTCTTGTCTCCGTCACTCATTCTTAGCACCACAAGAAGTACCAGCACATCCACCAGAAGTCATTCTGCTGCCCTGAGCCAGCTTGTGGGAAGTCCTTCAACTTTAAAAAGCACCTGAAGGAGCATGTGAAGCTGCACAGCGGTGAGTGCCAGAACCCTTCAGCTCCCCTGCGGAGGACTCCATCCCTTAGTCCCTGAATGCCTTATTAGCCCCTGCCTCCTTGAGATCATTACTAGGTTCTGGGTAACCTGATCCTTGTGAAATGTCAATTCTAATCACGTAGAACCATGAAGAGATGGGAAAGAGGGGGAGGGTGGAAAGCAAGGAGGGCAAGTTGCTTCTGTGGCCAAAGAAGCCTTGCAGCAAGACCTGAGTGAAGTGAGAAGTGGAGGGCAGCACGTGTAGGAAGCATTTGTGTGCTCAGGAATGGAGAGGAGGCCTCCAAGGCCACAGTAAGGATGATGTGGCTTCTACTTTGGAATGAGACCATTCGAGGTCTTCCACGGTGGGGAGAGAGCTGACTTATAGAGATGGCTGTAGCAGCTATGTGGAGAGTCAGGGACCATAGATGAGTAGAGATGGGTGTACCTTGATGATGATGGCTTGGGTTTGCCCATCATAGTTGGTGAACTAAGGCTGAGGCTCCTATGAAAATGTAAAAGGGCTGCGTGAGAAGGTTCCAGCCTGGGCAGCTGGGTCAAAGGTGATGAGTCCCTGAAAGCAAGGAAAGGGGCTGGTGGCATAGGACTCTGGTTTAATATGTGTTAAACAGATGTCAGGATTTGAGTATAGGGTTTATAGAGTGAGCAGAAATCTGCCATGAGCATGTGGTTAGTGTTTGGAGCCATGGGGCTAGAGTGTGCCTGCATAGGGAGGGAGGGAGGGAGGGAGGGAGGGAGGGAGGGAGGGAGGGAGGGAGGGAGGGAGGGAGGTTGGTTGGTTGGTCAGATGCAGTGCATCTGCCTTCAGAGGGTAGGCCAGGGAGAAAGAGAGGAAGGCAAAGAAAGTGGCACCCGAGGAAGCAAGTGCAGAAACTGCTCCAGGAAGGCAGGAGAACAGGTTGACAAAAACTGCAGGCCAAGGAAGGAGTAGGGACTAGATAACAATAAGGCAGTGTGACAAGAGCTCTCTTCTGGGGATGACAGCCAGAATGGAGTGAGTTCAATGCCAACAGAGCTGAGGAAGTGGGAGATGCTGGAGTTCTGCGGGGCAGGTGAGCAGAGGAGTGTGGTCTCATATGGAAGGCTACGAGTTTAAGATGCAGAGTGGGAAAGGAAGGCTTACTGACATCAGGGTGGGTGGAAGCTTTGATAAGAAGAGGTGAATTCTGAGAGACATGGGGAAGGCATCCACATACTCATGTTATATGGGCAGGGCGTACTAGATAACTGCTGGATTTGAGGGGCAAAGAATGTGGTACTAGGAGTGTTGGAGAGAGCAGATGCTCTTCAGGATTCTGACCAGTGGTTACTGCAGATCTCATCAATGAAAGGGAAGACCATGGGGAGGGTTAAATATTCATGCCCCGTCTTAGAGGTCAGGGGTTAAGTTTGGCCTGAGTTGGACTTTCACCAAGCAAGTACTGGCAAGGGACAGGACAGAATGGTAATGTGAAAGGCCATAACGATGGCTGTGAAAATGGAGCTGAGAGGGGAAGGGGCTGTGAGAAGACAGGGACCGTGGATGGTGGCCTGGAATCATCAGATTGTCACACTGGACAAGGCAGGATGCTTGAAGTGTTTGAGGTGGCACAGTGCTTGGGAGTGGTGTCTGAGTAGAGTGGAGGATGAAGTGATGAGGATATGGGTAGAGTGCTGCTGTATGACAGCAGATGTAGAGGACTTGAACCAGAGCTTGTGGTGTGAGGGGGAGTGATGGAGATGGAGAAAAAGTCTGCAGGTTATTGGGCAGGTCTTCAGAGAGCTGGTGAGGTAGTCCGAAGGGTACCACAAGAAGCAAGGACAATGTTTCTGTTGTAGACATTTAGGCATAGGAGAGGAACCACAGCAGCCTGAAAGCTGTGATCAGTAATGATGGTGACAGCAAGTGCTGTTGGAACTAGCAGGTTCAGTAAAAGACTGGCCACTTGCACACATGGGACTGGGGGTGGCAGGTACAATATGCACCCTGAGGATTTGTAGTTCTGGGGTATCCTTGGAGCTTGGACTGAAACCCCAACTGACTCCAGGGTTGTATGTGGCTGCTACTTGGTACTTCCTGTCCACACAAGGCTCCAGCTCTCCATTCATTATTCCTTTGACAAAGACACAGATAGGGACTAAAGGTGACTAGAGCACAGTCTTAGATGCCCCATTGTCTATCTCACTCAGTTTTCAGGAGCAATCAGATGCGTGATGTCCAGATGCTTATTAGAACTCAAGACTCCCGAGCCCCAGTACTCACCTTCTATTGGGGATGGTGGGCTAAAGCCTGAAGATAGATGACTGAATGCCCCCTGTTTATCTACAGATACCCGGGACTACATCTGTGAATTCTGTGCTCGCTCTTTCCGCACTAGCAGCAACCTTGTCATCCACAGACGAATCCACACAGGAGAGAAGCCCCTGCAGTGAGTGCCAGGGGCCAAGGAGGGAGCTGGTATCTGGCAGTCAGGAAGTGGGCAGCAAACTCCAGGGAGGTGAAGGTGGACCAAGGCTTCTTCCTGTTTGTGGCTGCAGGTGTGAGATATGTGGGTTCACTTGCCGTCAGAAGGCCTCTCTGAACTGGCACCGGCGCAAGCATGCAGAGACTGCAGCTGCCCTGCGCTTCCCCTGTGAATTCTGTGGCAAACGCTTTGAGAAGCCAGACAGTGTGGCAGCTCACTGCAGCAAAAGCCACCCAACCCTGCTCCCCACACAGGAGTCACCTGGCTCTTTGGAGTCTAGTCCCAGGGTTTCTGCTGCTGAACCCCTGCAATCTCCTGAGGGGGCAAGCCTTTCCTCTTCTGACTCTAATCCTGCCCCTTCAACAGCCAGCAATTCACAACCTGGGCTGCCAGACCCGAGGGACGCAGAGAAAAGTCAGATGATGGTCACCAGGAACTAGGTATTAGGAAAGAAGCTGAAGGTAGGGCTCCATGACTGGGCTCCAAATACCTTGCTTTAGCCCTTCCCCAAGGAAACAATAAATGGTATTTTATGCAAGTGTAGGCAGAGCATATGCTTTAATGCTATAGATTCAAGAATCTGGGAATCTTTTGAAACAGGATGTTAACTGTTCCAGAATGCAGCACAGCTGACCCCATTCACATGCCCAACTTCTTTCTAGATCTTCCCTGAAGAGTGTAACATCTGCCTTAGTCTAGGAGCAGGCTGGACCAGGAAGCAGATGACCTCCTCTTGTTCTAGCATTTGCCTCTGATTGAGCCCTGCAGTTTGGCCTTTTAGTATAGAACCAAGGCCTACAGCAAAACAGCTGTAGTTAGTCTATAGTGGGTAGGCTTTTGAGAGAGAACTGGACTGTAGGTCATGACTTGTCAGTGAGTTAACCCTTTGATAAATTCTTAGCAGGCCTATTAGGCAGAGAGGCCACAGTCCCCAGGGAAGTGCCTTTGAAGGATAATCTGGTTCTGGATCCTTCCTGTATTTCCTTGCCCTGAAGTAGGTAGCCTCCCAAGCATTTCCGCTTTGCTTCAGGCTCAGAAATGAAACCAGTTGACAACAGAATGACACTACTGAAACCACAAGCCAAAATAAATCTTTAAGTTGATTTTCTCAGGCATTTTGTTACAGCAATGAAGAAACCACCACCAAAAGGGATGAGAACTTGGAATTCATTTTGACAAAGGGGTTCTTGGTATCACAAACCCAAACAAGTTAACAATTTCACCAGCTATATGCAGTCATTGATGGATTCCAGGCTTTACTTTCTGCCCTTGCCCAGGACTCCAGGGAACTTGTTTCCTTGTACCTTGAAGCCTCATTTGGAAATAACATTCTTTTGTTTCATATGTGTTATGAGGCAATCATTTCTTCCCTGGCTAAAGAAAATTGTTCTAAGAGCCATTTACTGACAAAAAAATTACTTCTTTGTGTGTGAATATGTGTCATGACACATGTGGGTTCAAGGAGTCAAATTCAGGTCAACTGGTGCCTTTACCTGCTTTTACCTTTTCAAAGGAGGAACTTGCAACAGGTCTTGGTCCTTTAATGAAGAGCTAGCTATTCCACCCTTCCACACTGCCTCTGTCTCACCTCTGCAACTATGTGTCTCAAGCAAGAGAAAGTAGGAGCGATTAACAGGCAGATAAGAAGACACCTAACTGACCAAATACATTGCCTGAAGAGCCAGGGAAAAAACTGAGCTCATACAACAGGGAACGGAGTGGCAGCAACAGAACACAACCACCTGGTCTGTCTTGCATAGGGGTGTGGTGTTGGCTTCCTGACTCGTACTCAGAGTTAGGGAATACAAGGATGATGGAAGAGCTAGTGGGAATCTCGGTTTAGAGGCAAGGCAAGCTAGGTGAACACCTACTAACAATGCAACAGCAGTAGGTCTGGCTTACAAACCATCTGATATGCCCTTTTCCTTGGGACTGAATGTGTATTCACCCAGCTACTTCATGGGGCCATCTTAGCAAGTTTCCTGAAATGGAGACATTAAGAGCCCTGATTTCTCCTGTTCCTTTGGCCCTGTGAGGGCAAGGGGAGGACCCACTGTCACCTCCGTGACTACAGTGGTGGTAGTAGTGGCTGCCAATGCAGCTGCTCGAGCACGTCTGTGGGACCGCTGGTGCTGTGACAGTGACCGGCCATGGCTAAAGAATTTGCCACACTCTGTGCACTCTGCTGTCCGCTCACCTAGGTGTGTTTTTCTGTGCAGTGCAAGCTTGGAGGCAACACTGAAGGACTTGCCACACTCTGGGCACTTGTGTGGTTTATGACCTGCGTGATTGCGTAAATGCACATTGAGGTTGGAGATGCAGGTGAATCGCTTGCCACACAGCTCACAGTGGTAAGGCTTTTCCCCAGTGTGTGTGCGTAGGTGTTTGGTGAGATCTGAGCGGTCTGTGAAGCCTCGTCCGCACTCTGGGCATGGGAAGGGCCTCTCCCCCGTGTGGCTGCGCTGGTGCACCACAAGGTCATATCGCTGTCCGAAGCCCTTGCCGCAAGTGGGGCACACGTGTGGCCGTTCACCCTGGTGGCTGCGCTGGTGACGCAGCAGTGTAGAGCTCTCACTAAAGCAGCGTCCGCAGTCACTACAGGAGTATGGCTTTTCCCCAGTGTGTGTTCGCTGGTGCCGCACCAGCGTGGCACTCTCCAAGAAGCCCTTGCCACATTCTGGGCACTTGAAAGGCTTCTCCCCCGAGTGTCTCTGGAGATGTCGTGTGAGTGTGGAACTCTTGCCGAAGCTCTTACCACACACACTACATTGGTGGGCCTCAGCGCCAGGGTCGCTGAGGCTCAGGACTACGTGGATGCGGGAATGGTTCCGCAGCCCAGCACTGCTGCGGAAGGCTCGTGGGCACTGTGTACAGTGGTGCAGCGGACTGGGGGAAGGGGCGGTGGCAGTGGTCGTCTCTGGGGGATGTGCCCGTGCCAGGTGGAAAGGAAGAGCACTCTGCCGAAAGGAGCGGGCACACAGTGGGCAGCGGTGGGGTTTCTCAGGTGGATGCTGATGGAGCCGATGCAGCAGCAGCGCAGGGACATGAGGGAAGCGACGGCCGCAGAGGCGGCAAGGGCAGGTGCGGCTCCGCCTTCTGTGTGTCCCTAGATGCAGGTCCAGTAGACTGTTGTGATTGAAGCTCTGGCCACACTCACTGCAGACATATAGGGTCTGGCCAGCATGGGTCTGCCTGTGTGCACGCAGGTCTGAGGCTCGAGCATAGCGTTCACCACACTCGAGACAGCGGAAGCGCTTGTCACCACCATGGGCACGTTCATGCCGCAGCAGCACTGCACTGTACCGAAAGCTCTTGCCACACACACTGCAGGAATAAGGCCTTCCTCCAATCGCTGCCAAGCCAGGTGCTGTGAACATGATGTCTACCTTTTCCAGTCAATAATTTGTAGTTTTAAGGCCTGGAAAATAACAGAGGGAAAAGGCGGTGGCCTTGAAAACTGGTGGCCAGATTCTTGGGTTTCTTCTTTCAAGAGCAGATGGCCCTGCTGTCCCAAAGGCAGGCAGCAGCTGGATTCATCGTTGTAATCCCTGCAGGGCGGTCACTGTCAGTTCAGCACTGGCTGCAATAGCCCTGGCTGGGGACACAGAAAAGGCACCTTGAACTCTCTAGACCTGTGCTATTCTAGCAGCTCTCAAGAGAGGAAAGCTACAAGAGTCCCAGAAATTCAGAGGGGTGTCTCTGAAGTGCCTGGAATGGCAAGCGGTACTGATTACACCTGTCCAGGAAACAAGCAGGTACAGATTTCAAGGAGTATGTAAGGGGCTTCTTTGCTAGAACTAGGAATACCCAGCATTGCTGGAAAGGCCAAAGAGAGAAGTGCCCAACTTGTTTTCTGGTGTGATTTATTAAGCCCCTGGTGTTTTCTCATTGCCTGGCACCCCTCCTTGGTCATTTCCTAATGCATTCACTATCCACCAGAAAACAGGTCTGGCACACTTGCTGATACAGTGCCACAGCTATACTGACCTAAGGTTCATACCTCATACTGTTGGGTCCTGGGCTAGTGAGAGATCCCAGGCCCTGAGAGAACAGTCATTCAGTAAGGACAAACAGGTGAGAGATCAGTCAGCCTTTGTTTTTATAGGCATGGGACAGCACACAACCTCTAAGTGTGCTCATAGATTATGGGAAAAAAGCAAACAAAACGAGCAACAGTCATTTTCTTGTGGGAAATGGAAATCTATCCTAGTTGGCTTGGCTGAAGTACCCAAGGCCTGGGCATCTACTTCTGTATGTAAGTGGAAGGAATCAAGTGGATGGAATGCTTGGCCAACAGCAAACTCTGTATCTGCTGCTTCTCCATGATGGGTGGAAGGACCACCAGGGATATGTTCCTCTTGTCCCTTTTGTCAGAAGGAGGGACATTTGTTTTCAAGTTTTTGAGGCAGGTTCTATCTATGTAGTTCTGCCTGTTCTGACAGGAAGAACAAACAGCCTAGCCTCAAACTTACAGAGATGCACCTGCCTGCCCTTAGAGTGCTGGGATTTCAGGAATGCGTCATCATGCCCAAAGACCCACCTGCCCGTGCTTCCCCAGTGCTGGGATTAAAGGCTATATCATCACATACTAAACAGGAGGAATGTATTTCTTAAATAGTTATTTCCAAATGGGCTAGAGAGATGGCTCAGCCGTTAAGAGCCCAGGATGCTATTCTAGAGGTCCTGAGTTCAATTCCCAGTACCCATATGGCGACTCACATATCTGTAGCTTCTTCTCGTGTACAGGCAGAGCACTATATATACAATAAATCTTAAAAAAAAAAAAAAAAAAAAATCAAAACCAAGGGAGAATAGTGCCATAAGTGCTCATTTGCTACATCTTGCCTGTGATGCCATTTCACTTTTTATGTGTCTACTCCTGGCCAATTTGAACTGTTTTAAGCACAGACACTTTATTCAAAGACAATTTTTTTTTAAGCCCAGCAAACATGGGCACCTTTGCAGCCACAGAGCAGAATTCCGAGTAGTTAACTCTGAATCCTCCTGGGGAGCTTTGCTTCTATTTTTAATTAAACTTTTATCTTATTTTTATTTATGCGTACGTATGCCTACTTGTATGTGTAAGGATATATGCATGAGAGTGCAGGTACCCAAGGACTAGAAGAGGGTAGCAGATCCTCTGGAACTAGAGTGACAGGTAGTTCTGAGACACTTGAAGTGGGTGCTGGAAAGTGAACTTGGATCCCATGAAAGAGCAGTTACTCTTAACTGCTGAGCTACCTCTCCAGCCCTTAATTTGATTTTTGAGCCAGGTTCTCACTATGTTGCCTTGGCTGGCTTTGAACGAATAGAGAACTGCCTGCCTCTACCTCCTGAGTACTAGTCATTTAAAGAAATAGTTGCCTCATGAAACTAAAACCTAGTGGCTGGCTCCAAATGTCCGAGAACATTCCGAGAGGCTGGCATCTCTCAGCCAGTGCTTCCTGGGGAACATGCCAAAGGAAAGTAACCCTAACACACAACACATACATGCATATAAAAGGCAAAAAACCAATTCCATCTCTTCAATGTAACACATAGGAGTGTAGGGTGTAAGCTTGCTGCTTGGCCTTTTCATATCTCCTCTTACCTCATCCCATTACGTGAACAAAGAGGTCTGTTCCTAGGGTAGAAACCTGTTTAAAAAAAAAAAAAAAAAAAATTGTAATGCTTAGAGCACTTAGAAATCACCCTAAATATCACTGTTCCGAGAGTGAGTCCTTTTAAAAATTAATTATTTCTTAAAACTTAACTTCATTGACTCTTTGGGAGTTTCACATCATGCACCCCAATTCTGCTCACCTCCTGACACCCCCCCCATATTCTCCCTTCACAAAAGAAAACAAAATAAACAAGCAAATAAAGGAAAACCACCACCACAATCCCTTGACTTCTCCTTTCTTGCCTCACCAATGCCTCTTCGTTTGTCCTGGTGGCATCGGGGTCTTTGGTGTATCATACAGTGTACCCCTTTGTCCCATCAGCTTTACTAGCAAATGTTCACTGCAATGAGTCATTGGTCTGGTTCAAGGCCTCTGGTTTCTGGTATACCATCACCACCGGATCCTCACCAGAACTCCTCTGGGATATCCTGTGGGTATCGTGTCACAGGACCAGTCCTTTTGTGAGCTCCAACAGATGTAGATCCTAGGCTGTGGGGCCTGGGTGGTAGTTGAGTTGGCCAGTCCAGGCCACTGCGGCCACCAGCCTTGGGCAACAGGGCGGAGTCAGCTCCCCTACATGCATGCTCTCAGGGTTGGTCCAACCTCACCTGTGGTGAGGGGTGTGGGCCATCTCTCCCAATTACAGGGGACTGCTCTTGGTGTGGTGGCTATAGAGAGGCAAGGCCAGTTTTCTCAGGGCCCTGCTTTCATCTTGCATTGTTCCTAAGGCCTCCTGAGGTGACACAGGCCACAGACATTAATGAAGACTCCAGCTGCAGCTAGGCCATGGATCCAGGCATGGCCCATGGTGGCAGCTTGGGCCTGGATGACATTCTGGCTCTGGGTGCAAGGACTACTCAGGTGGCTGCCAGACACTACCAAGGTCTCAGGCTGCAGCCCCAAGCCTATGTATGCCTCTATGTGACTTTTGGTGGCAACACAGGATCTCAACATGGCCTTCAACAGCAGCTGGGTCTGGATGTCACCACTGTCCCAACAACAGTATGGCCCTCAGACAGCAAAACAGTCTCAATGGTAGCAGAAGCACTGGACACTAGCAGTCCCTGGTTGCAGTAGGACCACAGATGCTGACATGGCTCTCAGCTGCAGCTCTGGCCCAGATGTCACCACTGCATTGAAAAGCAGCGGACACTACTCAGTTCTGCACTCATCCTGGCCCTCTGACACCAAGCTGGACTCAGGTGGCTGATCTGACCCTGGGTATCCTTATGGGCACTCAGTGGCAACACAAGCTATATGTCAATCCAGACCCTAGCTGCATAGAGCCATGGAACCAGACATGGTCCTTGGCAGCAGCCTTGGACTGGATGACACCATGGCCTTGGGTGGCAGCACAGGCCACCCATATTTGTATGGCCCCTGCTGTGGCATGGCCCCCAGACTCCAGTCCAGATCTGAGGCCTCTGTGTGGGCCATAGTGGCAACCCAGGTCATAGACTTCAACACAGACCACAGATTCAGGAACAGTTGACATCCTAGCTTCAAGTGATAGCCCCAGCCCCAGATCAGGATGTCTCTGGCAGCAGCCTAGGTCTGTTTGTCACCATGTCTCCAGGTGGCAGCAAAGACCACCCACATCAGCACAGACCCAGTGTCGGTATGGCCCATGGACACAAACACTGCCACAGGAGGCAGCCTAGCCCACTGGAATCAGCATGGCAATCAATGGCAACAGGAACCTTGGGCACTAACAAAGACCCTGGCTTCTGTAGGACCAGGGACCCAGATATGGCCCTTAAGATCACCATAGCCCTGGGTGGGGAGCAGACTGAATCCCGCCCCCCCCAGATTACTCCTCAAAGTCTTCACCATGGCCCCAGGCTTCCAACATTTGCCTTCTCATTTCTTCCTTTCTGTGCCTTTCCACAGAGCAGGAACCATTCTGCTTCTCTATCTCTCCCATTTCTCCACCACTTATCCTTATCATAATGAGGCCCACCTGCCTAAGCATCAGGTGGGGGTGGTTGTCTTCCTGCCAGCCCAGAGTGAGTCTCAAAGGTCTAAACAGTATGCTTTACTTTGGAGAAAATGGTAAAAGGGTAATTACATGGGATGAGCAACAATCCTAACTTGAATACTTTATTATTTTAATATCTTTCAAGCATATCTTATCACAACTGCAAGTAAGGAATATCAAAATTAATTACAATTTGTTACATTTATTAACACTCCATTGTACAAATCCAGTCAGAATGGAGAGTTTCCCTCTGGGTTTGTTCTACTGTACCAATACTTCTTGGGTAGAATGAGAGAGACCCAAGTTAGGAGTCATAGATGATATCCATCTTGAAGCTAAAGTTAAGTAATTCTTGTTTGACCAAGTAGGAAGGAAGCTGCTCAGAGATGTGCTTTCTAAGAGCTGTATGTAGCTACTAAGCATTTGGAAGTGTTGTGATGCTCAAAATGACATGCAAAGTACCATCAGCAAGGTTTAGAGGCAGAGCTGTAACTAGGTTGTTATCTAGTATGCATATGGCCCTGGGTGCAGTACCTAGCATTTTATACACATGAAAAAAATGTAAGATTATAAATATGGTTACCATTTTACTTCTAGTGGAGCAACCATACAAACCTTCCAAGTCCTGAAACAATGAGAGGAAGTGGAGTCTACCTTAGAGTTCCAAAGAGGCCTGTTGTTGGAATAAAGTTGCTGAACTCATCTGATCATTAGAACTTTCTCCAATAGTCTCCACAGATGCCTGCTGGCTCTGGCTTCAGGCAGCTCTGTGCTCTCATTTCCTGCCCATCACTCATGCAATTCTAACACGGCCCCATGTCCACCCTTGAGATGGCTGGCTCTTTGGCTCATTTTCCCTGTGGGTCGTGGGCTTTCCTTGGACTCCCTCCTCTAGCTTCTGCCACACAAGGTCAACCACCTCAACACCAGCTCTGGCTTCTATTGTTGCTGCAACTGCATATACTTTCAGCTTACAACTACATGAGAGCAGCTGCAGCTACCCTCAGCCAAGCTGTGCACCACCTGTGTTCTCCACCCAGGCATGCTATGAAGAATCAGTCAGCCTCACACTTCACTGTCATTGTCAGCAGATCTGGTCAGACACCTGGGAATTCTTAAAGGGGGGGGGGGAAGGAGAATTAGCTTAAAACAACAAACAAACGGAGAGAAGAGGATTTTTAACCATCTTAAAAAAATGGGAAACATTATGATGCACTGAGTTAGGTCTCTGTATAGTTCCACAATGGATGGTATGAAAACGGAACACTTAAGCCAATTTATCTGGGATTGCCATAATGCTGTTTGGTACCAGTGGCAAATATGAAAAATTGACCAAGATAAAATTTTTAGACAGACTAATGGAACTAAAAAAAATATTCACAGAGTGTAGAGCAGAAATTACCACACCATGGCATTATGAAACTGAAAGGGCCAAGGTTACTAAAAAAGCAACCTTAATTTATCCAGTTACCATTCTAGAATGACCTCCAGATGATAGGCACTCCAAGGCTATTCAGAAGTTAATTGGCAATCCATAAAAATGTTAGATTTGAAGAGATTTAAGGAAGCAAGTTTCATATAGCATGCATTCATCTTTTTGGGAAATATGTTAAATTCATGGTCTACTCAGAACAGAATTATTCCACAAGGTTTAGTTACAGCAGTATTAGAATCTGGTTCTCAATTACAGTGGACTACCTGGTGGATTGATGAAGCTAGGGCCATCGAGCAGAAAAGGTTAGAAGTTATGATTATTTCCCAAGATCAAATCTGTGGTGAGGGCCATTATGTTGATGTGGAAAGACCACAGAAAGCACAAACCAGGAAAGATCAATTACAAACTCTTGATGATTGTCCAAAATTGCTGGAAGATATTAATTAACTGGTTACAGTTCACAACTGGACTGACAACTCAAGAACCAAGTAATTTATTTCAAACTTTATAAGGTGATAAGGACTTACATAGTTCAATTATCAGCTGAAGATGAGAGAGAATTGGCTTTGGTAGAAAAGAAACTACAGGTTGCACATGTGGATCATTTGGATCCACAGCTGGATTGTATCCTGGTTGTTTTACCTTCTATACATTCTTTTACTGGAATTCTAATGCAGAGAGAATATCTTAGAATAGATATTTTTACCACACAAAAAGAGTAAAAGTTAAAGGCCTATATAGAAAAGATTTCTAAGTTGATTCTGAAAGGAAAATTAAGACTTTAGCAATTAGCAGGAACACACCCAGCAGAAATTGTGGTACCTTTTACTAATGCTGACATTTCCTCATCATGGACAGAAAATGAACACTGGCAAAGAGCTTGAAGTATACCAAAAGCAAGAGCCTTCAGTTTATAAAGAGAACTGGATCCTTCCTCACATTGTAGGGGGCACACCAATTTCTGGAAGCCCTATATTCTATCCTGATGCAAACAAATCAGGAAAGGTTGGTTACAAATCAGAAAATTTAAGTGAGTAACTAAAACCCTTATGATTCTGTCCAGAAGTCAGAATTATATGTTATTCTCATGGTGTTATTAGATTTTCCAGAACCTGTTAGTATAGTTACTGACTCTCAATATGCAGAAAGAATTGTTTTACATATTGAAGCTACTGAACTTATTCCAGATGGTTCAGAATTAACTTTGTTATTTATTCCATTACAAGAAATAGACAGAGATAGAAACCACCTCTTGTATATAACATATATCAGATTCCATATGGTTCTATTAAGTCTTGGTGGGAAATATGCTAGAAGCCTCATAATTTATAAGAAGCACCATATTAATAGCAAGGGTTTGAAAAAAATTTTTCTATCATTTGGCAATAAGCCAAGGAAATTAAAGGAAATGTCCTACTTGTTTTTTTCTTTTTGTATAACCAAACTCAACTACCTACAGGAAGGAAATAACTGAAAGGGTACACAAACAAATGAAATTTGGCAAATGGATATGTGTTTCATTTTGTGGAGTTTAGAAAATTAAAATATGTATACCATACCACAGATAAATATTCAGGACTTCAATGGGCAACTGCTTTGAGTTCTGAAAAAGCTGATTCTGTAATCACACATTTATTAGAAGGCCATCATGGGGATACCTGCACAAATCAAGACTGACAATGCTCCAGCATATGTCTCCAGTAAAATGAAACATTTTTTTTGCATGTTACAACATAAAGTATGTTACAGGTATATCACACAATCCTAAAGGGCAAGCAGTTAAGATCTAATCAAACACAAGAGGTAATAAAGACCTCCCATAGATAGATTGCACAATGCTTTATTAACTTTAAATTTTGTAAATGTTAATGAGAAAGGAACAACAGCTGTGGAGACATTGGATGGTAGGGAAAAAAAAAACTGAATTAAATTAGTCTGTATACTTTAAAGATGTGTTTACCTCAGGACAGAAACCAGGATATGTGTTACGATGATGGGGAAGAGGTTTTTCTTTTGTTTCCATAGAAGAAAACCTACAGATACCATCAACATTGATAAAGATTAGATTTGAACAAGAGAAACTTCTTGATTAGAAGAGGCAATAGTTCATCAAACAGCAAGACCATTCAATCTAACTTGTAAGACTGACAAATGCTTTTCATTTGATCAGGTACAACTTGCCAAAAGGGAAACTCCCCAAAGTTAAGGTTGAGGCAGGGTTTTGTTTTTGTCTTTCCAGAGAATAAAGGCATCTAACTAAGGAATCTGAAGACCACTGGACAAATGAGACATTTGAAGAAAAAAGCTGATTCATCCAGAAAAAAATGTTCCATGAAAAAGAGTAAATTGGCCTACTGGTGTATCACATTTTCAACAGGATAAAAGTTCATCAATATTCCAAAAAAATTGTTTCTGTTATTCTCTATAGACATAAAGTGCAAATGATCTTTTTGTAGTCCCAGTTCAATTGAAAATTACCCACCTCTGCATCTCACCTAAGGTCCTTTAGAATGTATCAATTTAGGAGACTGTTATCTTCTAATTTAGAAGCTAAGTATGACACCAGATAGTATCTAAAACCTATACATAGCATAGGTTGCAAAGGACCAAACTTTGGTTGGTTCTGAACACCCACATAGGGTGGCTCACATGCCTATAACTGAAGCTCTAGGGGGCCCGGTGCTAACCTCCATGGGAGAGTTCATGAATACACACATAAATAAAGATAAATCTTAAACCAAAACCAGTCTTCCCATCCCTTTTGTTGGCAGGTTTTTCTCATCTGCCACCTTTATTTTAGGTAATACTTTTTTTTTTGTTTGTTTTGTTTTTTCGAGACAGGGTTTCTCTGTGGCTCTGGAGGCTGTCCTGGAACTAGCTCTTGTAGATCAGGCTGGTCTCGAACTCACAGAGATCTACCTGCCTCAGCCTCCTGAGTGCTGGGATTAAAGGTGTGGGCCACCACCACCCAGCTTTTTTTTTTTTTAAACAAACAAAAAACAACTGTTACTTCGAGGCTGTAAGACTGGAGGGGTGATGCATTTATCGTGGCTATCTTTTTGTTGTTGTTGTTGTTTTTTTTTTCCCCAAGACAGAGTTTCTCTGTGTAACCCTGACTGCCCTGGAACTTGCTCTGTAGAGCAGGCTGGCTTCTGACTCAGAGATCCTGAGTGCTGGGATTAAAGGTATGTGCCATCATTGCCCCACCATCTCCAGTCGGCCTTAATAGTCATTTATCTCTCGCCTCTGTATCTAACAGCCTTTGAACCATCAGGCAAAGCCTTACAACATTAGCTTCCACTAACCTGAAAGCTAAGACTATAATCATAGAGCATCTAAAACGTACAGCAGCTATCTCCCCTGTAGCCTGCCTACATCTCACATTACCTTTGGAGAGTTTCGTTTTATGTTGACAAACCCGCTTAGAGGGCCTAGAAAGGCAAGCATCCAAATCCTGGCTCTTCTATGACTAATTAATTGTGTGACCTTGAGGACAGGACTTAGGCTACCTGTCCCTACAACCTGGGATAACTCAATACAGGAAATCAGCATAGTTTTCTACGAAAAGATAAAGGTCAAAGCAGCCATAAACCTGAGAACTTAAGTTGTGCAGCATTCGCGATTAACTCTTCAGGACCGTCCTTATTTAGGCAGGCCCTGAATAGGAGGCTTAACTTACTGGCCCACAGCCTGCCAGATCTTTCTGACTTTCTCGCTCGGCCCCAGAACCCTTTTCCAGCGCGTAGGCGCACGCGGGCCTTCCTTAGCTACAGGCGGGTGCTGGCGTCTGGGTGACCGAAACTGCGGGGCGCACAAGCACTAAGGCAACACGGCACGCAGCACCCGCTTCCCCGGGTCTCCCGAAACAGTCACTACAGGCCGGTGGCTGTCGTCGCCCCGTGACCCGCTCTGGTTGGCAGGCGATTTCGCGGACGCGCGGCCGGACAGCACGGCCGTCCTGGAGCGGCCTGCACAGGCGCACTGGCCCCCCGCGCGAGCGCCGCTTGTCGCCCTCCGGTCTGGGCCGCTCGACCCGGGGTGGAGGGGACACGGCGGCCGTCGAGGGCCGCGGCCCCGCCCGCCCTGCCTTGGGGCCCTCATCCCCCTCACCAGTCACCGGAGGGCCGCTCCAAACCGCGTTCGCCTCAACGCGTTATGGACGGTGCTGGGCTCAGCGTGCGGAGGAAGGGGCGGGTGCAGGCAGGGCGGGGCCAGAAGACAACATGCTGATTGGCTTGCTCTGCCTGGGATCACCGCATCGCTGTTGCTGGTGTATCGATCCTGCGCAAGCGCACTATTGACCTGACCTGGCGTCGGTATCACCTGCAACGCTCAGTTAACCTGCCTCCCGTTTCAGGTGTCAACACGTGGGTCCCTTCCTGCCATTCAGAAGAAAGGGCGCCGAGCCCAGGGTCACTGGAGATGGGTCTGGACCGTAGCAGGTTACTCAAGAGAGGCCGTTACCAAGTTAGTGCCTTCCTATACAGTGAGGCCAGACCGGATGTCCACTATCTTGATTAATCTTCCCCATAGATTAATGACCTGCCAGGGACAGCGGTACTCTTGCTGGACAGGTGCTTCAGGCTGAGACGTGTGAGTGGAGATGGCTCCCGACACTGCAGAGCAAGGGTGCAATGGCCTTGGACGCCTAGGAATGCGGCTCAACCACAAACGGTAAACCTGCTTGGGAGTTAGCTCAGTTGGCAGGCTGTTTTGTTGGACTAGTCAGGGTCCGGAGTTTACTTATCAGCACCACATAAAACGCACTGGTGCCATGCAGACTTGAAAGAATCAAGTACATCAAAAGTGGAGGCAGGAGGATCAGAATTCAGTCGTTCCTTGCTTCTGCAATTCCTAGCTGGTTTCCTACCTGAAACTCAATTCGATAGGATGTAGCATCATCTGAAAAGTCTCAGTGAGGAATTGTATGGACTGGATTGACGTGTGAGCAAACCTGTGAGACATTTTCATGGAGGTACCATTTCATGGATTGGGTTCTGCACTATGCAAGTGTTGAGAGGCGACTGAGAAAGCAGTATACATCCATTCAATCTGTTCATGAATGTGGAATGTGGGACAACCAGCTGCCTCAAGTTCCTGCTGCTGTGATTCCTCCACAGTAACGGAATATAACCTAGACTTGTATGTATGCCAAAGTCTTGCTCCATTTAGTTGCTCTTTGTCAGGGTGTTTTACTACATCATCAGACATGAAACTAGGAACAGGCCTGTGTTGAAATAACAAAAATGTACCTTAAAAGTTGTTTTTTTTGTGTGTGACCTCTATTGTAACAACTTTACACTTTATTTTTAGACAACAAATTGATTTATAGGTCACACAAAATAAAAATACGGCTTTGTTGTATGTAGGCACGTGCAGGCTTAATTTTATGCTGGTTTCCAGGGTGTTATCTTCTAGGTGCAGTGAACTGGCACAACCAGATATTACATATGTTTGTACTGGCTTGAGTGAAAGGTTATTGAGGTTTTAACCTGTTATTGCAGAACAGGTAGGCTTTGTTTTGTGATGGTCTCACTGTGTAGTCCTGGCTGGCCTGGCACTCACTATGTAGAATAGGGTGGCTCCAAACTCACAGAGATCCACCTGCCTCTGTCACAGCAAAATAAATACAAATTAAAACAGAACTCCAGAGACAAACTACATATGAAGGATGGCTGTTCATAAAACAAAAACAAACAAAATGGACAGGTGACTACATTTTCATTGAGGCACTCTGCTTAGTTTGTAGGGAATTCATGCAAGTTTTTTAAGACTATGACTTGAAAGGCATTATATACAAAGACACACTGCCAAATTAGGTGCTTATCAAGGGTTGTGTTGTAAGGAAAAGCCACTGGAAAACTTCATTTTGGTACACCTTCCTTGTCTCTTTTCAGTTACTACATTACCTGCCATTTTTCAAATGGAACACAGAGCTGTAATCTGACATTCAAGCTAAAGAAAAATTTGATCATGTCTGACTTTTATAGGTTTTATCTTCCTAGATACAGGTATCATTCACCTTAGGATCACACCTTATTTATGGTAGCAGCTACATTTGAGAAACTATTTTCAAGAATGAAGTATAATCAAAATCAGATAAACATCTGAGAACTGAAAGTATTTCCACGGAAACATATTTATGTATTAGATCTCCAAATGTCCCACTATCTAGGACCAGCCCAATAATCTTAAGACTCTCTGAACAGAATGCTGCATAATTGGAATCATTATGCAAAACGTTTTTGTTTATATATGCTAGCAGAGATCATCAATTGTACATGGAAACCTCCCTCCCCCCCACTTTTTTGCTAGTGTTGTGTATTTACTAGGTAAAATGATAGTTCTTGTCTAATGTGGACCAGAGAAGACAAAAGGTCAGATACCAGCTGTAGAGCAAAAAGAGTGGAGCAGGGCTAAGAAGTGGAGTGGGTAAAGATTTTGGGAGAGCTAACAAATCATGGAACCCCTCTTTTCCAGAAGGCTGAAACGTGAACCCAGACCCTTCTTGGCAAGTGCTCCATCACAGAGCTACATCCTCAACTAACTTTTCACAAGCTTCTACTGGTGCCAGAGTGTCTGTATATGGCTGGTTAATGGAATATAAATAGAACATCACAAGCCCTATCCCATACCCAAGAGTGTGAGCGTCCCTCAGTAGCAATGGCAGGATCAGCTGCATCTCATGAGCCCTGTGAATATAGAAGGCTTACTGTTACTACTGCGTAAGGGTGGAATCCAGTTATATTCAGCATGTTACTACATGACTAAATATGTTTTTCATTATGTTTCAATTTTAGTTCCAAATGCAAAACATGTCTGCCTCCTGTTTCTAGTTCTTTTTCAAATAACTTGATGGGGGTCAACTGAGTTTCCAGTAAGGCAAAGTGCAATGTAATAATTTAGAACTAGAACAGAATGACTGGATTAACTAAGTCCTGAATTGCAGACCTCAGTTTTTTTACCCCCTCAGAATGAAGGTTTTAATCAAATTCAGGAAATTAAAGAATAAGCAAAAACTTACCAATTACATCAACAATACAAGTGATTCTAATGGCTTGGCAATTATCTTTTAAATTAAGTCAGACAGTAATTTTTTTAAGGGATTTTTTTAAACTGTCTATGTGCATGAGTATGTGCACTGACTCCGCTAGTACTGTAATTGTGAGCTTCCTGACATGGAAGCTAGGAACTGAATTCATTCTGGAAGAATTAGATATAAGCTTAATAGATAATGATTGCCGTTCCTGCTACTTACAGGGTTTGGTCAACTTCAAGGTGTCAAACACTTATTCCAACACAAAGCCTGTTTCCTTTTACACCTTTGTAAGTAAACTGTGTAGAACTACCATAAATTAGACAGGTAAGCGCCATGATTTGGTACAGTGCAAAGATGTAACACTGGTGAGGTATTTAAAGATCAGCCCCTTGGGGGGGAAAAAAACTTCACAAAAGAGTTCATGATGTCTTAGTCTTTAAGGATGAAATTAGGCGTATAGTAAGGTTAGGGAAAAAAATTATGTTCCAAACGAATGCATATATCAATGTTTACAAAGCTGAGGCAGAGGGTCATGGCAGTTCCGGGGCTGGAGTACAGTGAAAGCATCTCAAAAACTTCCCAACAACCCGCTACTGCTGCTAGCCTTCTAGGGTCCCTCTTTTCTGAACCTTACCTGACCCAGCTATGGCCCCTCTCTCTTTAATGCTTTTAAATTTTATCTGTTTAGTTTTTAAAAATCTATGTATATATGCATGTGCATCACATGCACCCGGTGCCCAGAGACCAGAGAAGGGTGTGAGAGCCCCTAGAACTGGAGTTACAGAGAGTTGTGAGCCACCATGTGGATTCTGAGAACTGAAGCTGAGTCCTTTCAAAGAACAAATCAAGTTGTCAGGCTTGCACAGCAATGCCTTTATCCACTGGGCCTCTTAACAGCCCAGACCTTTGTTGTCACCTTTTATTTTCCTCACAACATACCCTAGTTTTTCATCAGGTATGGTAGTTCATGCCTTTAATTCCAGAACTTGGGGAGGAATTAGAGGCAAGAGATCTCGGTGAGTTCCAGGGCAGCTAGAGCTACAAAGTGAGACCCTGTCTCAAAAAACAAAATATAACAACAACTAGTTCTTGGGCTGGAGAAATGGCTCAGTGGTTAAGAGGATTTGCTCTTGCAGAGGACCTGAATTTAGTACCCAGAACCCACATGATGGCTCAAAACATGTATACCTCCAGTTCTAAGTGTTCTACTGTCTTCTTTTGAAGGGCACCAAGCATGCATATGGTGCACATACATAAATGCAGGCAAAACACTACGAACACAGAAAATAAACAAAATCTAAAAGGAATTTAAAAACTAAAACTTGCAACTTTTGCAGTGCTGGAAATGAACTCAGAGCCTAGGGTCTTTCACATGTAGGCAAGTATGTATCACTAAGCTTTTACTTTTGACTTCTTTTGGAGACAGTATCCCATTGTTGCCCAATGTGGCAACCTTCCTGCCTTAGACCCCTCAAGTTTTAGGATTACAGGTATACACAATTAACTTAGCTCTTTCTTCTTACATTTGTGTGTATAGTCGAATGTGCTGGGTCATGGCACTAGGTACTCTCCTCCACTGTTTGGGTCCCAGGGATCCAACTCAGGTTGTCAGATTTGGCAGACGGTGTCTTTTAACTGATGAGCTATCTCCCCAGTCCATACTATTTAATATTTTGTTTCTGGAGGTGCATGTGGTGGGGGTTGAATCAAGGGCCTCAGGTATTCTAAGCAAATCTCCATCAGTGGATTACATCCCCAACCCTTAAGTGGTTATTTACAAGGTTAGAATGGAAGAACAGAGTTGAGAAATGAAGAACTCTTGGCACTTAATATTTCCATCCAAACCTGTCTACTATGAGATAATCACATCTGCCAAGATACTTGGATGGCAGAGGCAGGTGGATCTCTGTGAGTTTGAGGCCAGCCTGGTTAATAGAGTGAGTTCCAGGACAGCCAGGGAAAGGGAGGGAAGGGGAGGGAAAGGGGAAAAGAGAGGGAGAGAGGGGGAGAGAGAGAAAGAGAGAGGAGGGAGGGGAGAGAGAGAGTGAGTGAGTGAGAGAGAGAGAGAGAGAGAGAAAGAGAAAGAGAGCGCCAAATACTATCATGGTTTCTAGCACCAACAGCCCTACCCCTAGAATAACCCAGCCCCTTATGCCACATTAAAATGCCTGAGAAAGCTCATGCTGTCAGTAGAATATACTGTTTATT